AAACAAAGAAATTCTCTATATTAGGTAAAGAAAAAAAAAGCCGAATCATTTGAATTATAAATTCAAGCCAGCCCTTCAACATTTGCGTCAAGTCCACATCGTTTTGTTTTTCAGCACCGAGACAACTACTATTTGGTATTCTTCACAGACACACAAGCCTGGACTTACAGTTAATGAATAGCTTCCTGCTGAGTTTTTTGGATTTAATTTCATTCTGTTCAACTTAGCTCTCAACACTGTATTTATAAGAGATCGATAATCGCATTATTGTGTGCTAACAGATGCCTCTAACACTTAAATAATTCTCTCAAGGATTTGGGAGGCCATCATGGAAGCCATTTAATATTAGTCATTAATATTAGCAGGCTAAGGGAGAGTAGTTTTTTTAATTTGCATACAGTACCGCCCAATTCTCTTACTAGGACAAATACTGTATTAATCAGGGCCGACTATCTGCTGTAACAAATGATCCCCACATCTCGGTGGCTTAATACATTTTTCACTTACATTTTCTCACAATTAGGGTTGGCAGGGAGTTTCTGCTCCCTATGCTCATTCAGAGACAGCCTGCTTCTCTTCTATTTCTCCATTTTCCAGGTTCTATGGACTCTCTCCATCCAGGACATGAATGGAGAAAGAATGGAGGATGCTGAGTGGGTGGGACATTTTTTGATGGACTGCTCTGGTTGCCACTTTTACTACATCCCATTGGCTGGCACCCAGTGGCAAGCACTCACTTACCTGCAAAGGAGGCTGGGAAATGTAGTATAGCTACCTGCCCAGGAGAGGAGGACATGGCTTTAGTAAGCAACCTAGTCACCAAATAAAATTTAGTCTCTGCCACAAATACCAAGACAAGAGGAAAGAAATAGGAAATTCAATTTAAAAGGTCTTTTTTTGTGGGGGAGGGGGAGAGAGGTACCTGCGTGGCTCAGTCGGTTAAGCGTCCAGCTTTGGCTCAGGTCATGATCTCATGGTTCATGGGTTTGAGCCCGGGGTCTGGCTCTGTGCTGACAGCCTGGAGCCTGGAGCCTGCTTCCGATTCTGTGTCTCCTCGCTCTCTGCCCCTCTACCGCTCACACTCTGTGTGTCTCTCAAAATAAATAAACACTAAAATTGGTTTTCTTTACATTAATGATGATAAAGTTGAAAATTATGACCTTATTTATACTAGCAAATCTAGTGGAGTAATAGGTGTTCTAAATTCAAGTCATCTTTTTACAAGTTACTGACAAACTGCTATCTAAGGTCAAAAATTTTTTTTTTCCAGTAAAATATTCACAACATGAAATTTAACATTTTCAAGTGTGCAGCTGAACAGCATAAAGCACACTCACCCTGTTGGACTAAGTCACCGCGATCCACTTCCACAGTTTTTTCTTCTTCCCAAACTGAAACTCTGTACCCATTACATGAACTCCTTGTCCTTCCCCCCAGCCTCTGGGGACCACCATTCTACTGATGTCTCTATGAATTTGACCACTTCGGGCACCTCACAGAAGTGAAAACATACAATATTGGTTCTTTTGTGTCTGACTTATTTCACTTAGCATGTCTTCAAAGTTCATCCATGTTATCACCTTATCAGAATTTCATTCCTTTTAAGGCTGAATAACATTCCATCGTATGCATAGACCACATTTTGTTTGTCCATTGGACACCAGTGGACACGGGTTGTTGCCTGCTTTGGACTCTTGTGAATAATACTGTTACCAGCACGGGTGTACAAATATCTGTTCACGTCCTTGCCTTCACCTTTTTTGAATAAACACCCAGAAGTGGAGTTGCTGGATTATTTGGTAATTCCATGCTTAATTGTTTGAGCAACTATTCTACTGTTTTTCCTAGTGGCTCTAAAGTCGTAACAGTTCCAAAGACAAACTTGTAATTGGCTTCTACAAAAGGCTACACTGACTCATCTGTAAAGGGAGTGTCCCCATTAAAAGTTTCCAGAATTGGGGGGTTATGTGTTTTCAATTTAGCTCTTTAAGAACTAGAAAGGTTTTAATCTCATTCGTCCTTTGCTTCTAAGTGATGTACTGAAATATATTGAGTAATTAGTTGTGTTCTCTGGGAGGTGTAAGGAATAGGCATTTGATAGAAAAATGTGTGATGAAAGTTCTGTCCTAGCTCTCTTGTGACATTGGTATCTAATAGATTTTCTGGAAACCATGGGACTAGTTTATCACACTAGGACTAAAAATTAAACCAAGAAAATCTCTGTAGCACTGTCAATTTGAACTTCCAATTAACAGTTAAAACCTGACAGCCACACCATTTACAAACTGATATATCATCGGCTGTGCTTTTTCTTTCTTTCTTTTTTTTTTGCAGCTGCTCATCTGATAATTATCTGGATGACATCATATTTTGGCCTCTTTGGTTTTTTTCTTTTCCCCTGTAGACTATTTTGTGTAAATATTTGAAACAACTAACTAGTGTGATGAAACCCTGAGTGCTTTCCAGAAGTTTAACCCAAACAGCGAGGGGTTTTGGATGTTTGGTTTTGATTTCATTCTTTCAGCCCATTTAGGGTTTCTGAGTACGAGTACTGTCAAAATTCAAAGATACCATGAAAATGAAAAGCAGTTACTGTGGATACGAGAGCACGTTTGAACTAAACCCTTCTCTGAGAGCTTGATTTGGAAACCTTTGGTTCCTTAATAATATGATTTTTAACTCAGCTATTTCATCACAAGGCTATGGTGGTACATTGATATTCTAGGTTTAAAAAAATATCTCCAAGTTAAGCTTTTCCAGGAGGTGAGGCCGAAAAATGAAGTTGGGCACATGGTTTGATGTCAGATTATTACTGTGGACAGCTGAACATCATACCAGACCCCTTTCGTCCATTCTTGTCTGTCTGTCCGTAAGGCTAGCAGATCTGGGGGCCCAGCACTGGAGATTTGGGGGCCCAGCACTGGAGAATGTTTATTTTAATTATTTTCCAATAAGACAGCATTTGGTGCTTCACCAACAGTGCTGCTTAAATCACTTACGATGTGACATGGAATTATAGAATATAGACTCGAATACTACAAGGCATCAACGCTTTTCACTGTTGTACACGGGATTTGTGCGGATTTCTCTCCCCTTGTTTGAATGCACGTATGCACAATTGTTGCATAAAGTTCCTGATAGAAGACTTCTACATATTAATTTGAAGTTTCTTTGAAGCTGTTTCTTTCAAAGAAAAATAACATCGACACTAGTTCCTCTTTAACACTGTCTTTTAAGGAGTAAAGCCATAGAAGTGAGAGCCTGCATGTGAAATCCGTCACAAATCTTGTACAATGGGTGCAATGTGGTTAGCGGAAGATTTAGTGACTTCCATAAAGAAAAGCTGACGTCATTTTTTAACATGAACCTTGTATATAATTTCACTTCTGGCAGCGTAGACTAGTAAAATGCAAAGCATTATAAATGATGGACTTTTAACTCCTCTCCTTAACAATCATTGTCACGTACACATTTATATGTGGTTGCAGCACGGGCAATCAAAGTGGTAGCCAGCACTGAAATCACTCTAGAAGCTTCCCTCCATCCATCTATTCATTATACAATCCCCATATGAGCCCCAGTCATCCCTAGTGATATTGAACTCTCTCAATACTCCTTCCTCGGGGGTTCTTAACTTCTGCATTTATTCTTGTCTCTCCCACTCTTGGGCCCTATTTTTATCCCCTTCCCTGTTCCTAGGATTTAAGCAGCCTCTTCCTTAAAGGACCATTGGTGTCCTTCAGTTTTGTCTCCCTGCCTGTCCTTTACCAACTTCTCATAGTTTTACCTTCCTTAAAACACACACACACACACACACACACACACACACACACACCTTCATTTCCTTTTCCCTTCTTTTTTTGACTGAAATAGTATCAGTTGATTACCCAGCCTCTTACGAAAGTGCCCTGCCTGCTCTCTACTAAGAAGGTGTGGTATAGAGACACCGACCAAAGTATGTTCTAGCTCTGGGCTGGCACAAGGGTCTTCTCTCTTGGGGTCTGTTTTCTCATCCATCATTGTAAGAGAAAACGATTCTACCACATGTAGGCTGTTCTAAAAAGTTAGCATGATAACATATACACAGTATCTAGAGTAGCAGAATTGGCTTCAGGAAGCATCATCATCATCATTATCATTAATGTTTACCTTCCTTCCAAACGACACCTGCAGACTCCATCTGAGTACGCATCCCCTTTCCCCCAGAATTCAGGAGAAGAATAACTGAATACAGTGTAACACTTAAGGGTATTGTTCTGTATCAACCACCGATTCCAGCACTGTGTTTGGTAAACCGGTGCACTCACTTTCACTAAGCCAGTTGACACTGAAGCCTAGGGCCAGTTCAGGCATATGGACTCTGCTGGTAAAGAAGAGAAACTTCAGGCCCAGGGACATGAAACAAAGGAGAAATAAACCCAAAGTCGCTTTGTATTCGGAACGATGATCCAAATCCTGTTCAAGATACCAAACTGCCAGTGCACCTCTTCTGATTCCTTATCCCTGGAGGAAACGAAAATAGCTCCTAAAGCGTCCATGTTCCAGGCTTTTCTACAGAGATCTGGGGTCTGGGGAAAACGCAGCTGCTTCCTTTTCCCTTAGGGGATCTAGCCCCTAATCCTTTCGACTCAGATGAACGAGAGAGAGAGAGAGAGAGAGAGAAAGAAAGAGAGAGCGAGCGAGCTTTCCTTCTAGGATATTTGGGGGTATCTACAACAGACTAGGCAGAGAAAGTAAGCTCCCAGTTCAGCAGCTGAACGGCTGCTGCAGCTACCAGCCTGCTGCCCGCCCCAAGGTTAGGGCAGGCGGCCAACCGGATTGAACCCGGAGTTGGCCAGGCGGTGGGCGGGGCGGGTCATGGGCCGCTGGGCGTGGCCTAGGGCCGGGTGGGGCGTGGCAAGGGCCACAGGGCGGGGCCGAGGGCCGGGTGGGGCGTGGCCGGGACCCGCGGAACTCTGCCCTGAGACCGGCCTGGGGGCGGGGAGAAGACTGGCCCCGAGCGTGAAGTGGGAGGGGAGTGGGGAGACCTTGAAGGCCGTGCACGCTGGCCCTGCCGAGGGTCCCGGGGGAGAAGGCGGCGCGCAGCGAGCGGAGGGAAGGTGCGCGGGAGCCGGAGCGGGGGCGTGGGGGCTGTGAGTCCGGTGGGAAGGGTGGGGTCAGCAGGGGAGACTTCCGTGTTCCTGCCTGCGGGGAGCCCCGGCGATGGTCCCCCTGGAGGGAGGTTTAAAGCAGCCCGCGCTTCGGCGAGCTGCTGCCTTTCTCCAAATGCGCCGGGGAAGCTGCAAAGACGCGCAGATCGTGAGGCTGCGCGAGGCCTAGGAGGCTGGTCTGGTTGGTTACCCCAAAGTCTAAAGTCCAGCGAAGCCTGGCTTGAAACCCGAAGCCGAGAATCCCACGAGGAGCGAGGCCCCGGGGGCCCCGCGTGGCTCGAGCCCAGTGTTGCTGGACAGAAATGCTGCGGGGTTGTCGTCGGGCCGCTGTACTGGAGGGGAGGGGTTGGTGGGGGGAGGGGAGGGCTGGGGTCTTCTCTAACAAGCTGGTTCTCCTTTCCTAAGCTTTGAAATCTACTTCTGAGCCTTGAGCCTCAGACTTGCCCTTTATTTTACCGCCTCATGGTTCTTCTGACCTCAAGAGATTGCAAACACACATAGGCGCGCCTCCCCTGCGGATAAGAGCGCAGTGTTTACAGCCGCAACCTTGTGATATTTCTGGAGGCGCCTCGGGTGCAGTGACGCCTCCGAGGGGGACACATTTACAGAGGAGAGCTTGCGCCTTGTGTAAACACGTGTCCGTTCGCCCGCACATCACCGCCACACTGGAGGAAAACGACAGGCGTTGGCTCCTATCCTAAAGGATCATCGCAGTCATTGTCAAATAGATTGAGGGTCTGTGGAAGAACCGCGCGCTGACACTTCTGACACCGCCTTGGCCAGTTGCGTCTTATTTTGCATAGACAGCAGGGGTGTTCAGCAGTTATCCTGAAGGCCTGGTGCCATTCCGGAAGTAACTAACCCCCCTTCAAAAAGAAATCTCAGTGCACCCTGCAAAGAAAAAGGGATCAGGCAACTAGCTGTTGAGAGCAAGGTAGCAACTTCATTTCAACAGAATTGGAACACAAAATTCACAGCGTGCCGCTACATGAAATTGTGTTTTCCATGCGTGGAGGCTGGATGTTGCTTTATTGTTACAGAAGTTACTAAAATATATGTAGTATAGATTGGGGGCATAAAACAGCAGAATGCATTTTATTTCCATCCCTTGCTCTTAGAACCGAAAGAGGAATGCGCACGCCTATGTTTTCCAACATTAGTGAAAGCCAATCACCAGGGGTCTTCTTTGAGCTCTGTGCCCTACAAGTTCACACTTTACACTGCTCCCTGAGGTGTTCTCCTGTTACAGAGGAGGGAGTGAAGGCACAGGGGTGAGGCCGCACTGCTGGAAAGTTTAGGAAAAAAACAACAACTATGTCTTTCTAACTCAAAACCTGTGCTCCTACCACTGAGAACCCCATACCCCCACCCGTCGCACTACTTTTTCACCAGTGTGTCCCCTGTCCAACAGGAACTAAAGGTACGCTGGTGGAGGGGGCTATAAGATGATGCTGGCTTAAGTACTCTGAGGACCCGTGAGTGCAACCTCATTCTATTTCTGATTCCGGCTCTTCGACTTTGCACGAGTTACTTATCTTCTCTAGGCACATAAAAGTAATTGATCTCTAGGTCTCTGCTAGATCGAAAAACCTATAGATTTGTGAAAATAAGATCCTGCTTTTACCACTTAATGATATTTTTGGTCACACTTGGTGTTGGAATTACGGGGAAGTCGGGAAGGGCTGGTTTATTCCTTCAATAAAAGTGTGTTGTGTAGCTGGACACGCTCTGGGGCTGCTGCAGTCCAGAACAGGGCAGATGAGGATTCTAGCCTCGAAGGGTTGGACATATATTCTGGTTGGACACTGGGAGACCCGAGGAAACCCAGAAAGAACCAACACACAAGTGAATTAACCAACAGCTACAAATTGTGAACAGAGGGCTGTGATAAAGGAAAATGGAGCAGAGAGGTGGGTGGGGCGCTCTGGATGTGGAAAGGAGTCCTCACCAAGTCCAGCTGGTTTAGAAGGATGAGAAGGACCTAGAGATGTCCCTTCCTTGCAGTGGGACCTGCTTGGGCAAAGGGGCCACGGAAGAACCTGGCATGTTCTAGAAATGACCAGAATGTCTTTGTGAGGGTGAATGGTTGAAGATGAGGTGGGAGAGACAGGGTGGGACCAGCTCATGGAGGGCTTCGTGCAGCCTGGTAAGGCCACTAAATGTTCATCTAACAGCAACGGGAAGTCGCTAAAGGGTGGTAGGCAGGGGAGTGACATGAAGGTGGCTATGATACAGCCCAAGTAAAGGGCGGAGGTAGCTTAGGCTGGGGTGGTGGTAAGTGTATTTACTGATTTTGAGAGAGAGGGAAAGAAAGAGAGAGAAGAAGGAACAGAGAGAGAGAGAGAGAGAGAGAGAGAGAGAATACCAAGCAGTTTCCATGCTGTCAGTGTGGAGCCCTCCTTGGGGCTTGCGGCTCGATATCATGAACTTCAAGATCATGACCTGAGCTGAAATCAAGACTTGGACGCTTAACCAACTGAGCTACCCAGGTGTGCCCTGACAATCATATTTAAAATCTCATGCTAACAGCTCTCGCACACCCTGGAATTCCCAGCCTCATGTTCCCTTTAGTTTTCCTGCATACAACTTATTCCCATATGACCTACTACATATTTTGTTTATAAGTTATTTACTCCTTCCTATAAGAATGTCAACCACGTGAGGTTGCAGGTTTTATTTATGGCTGTTTCTCTAGCACCTGATGCTGTGCCTTGTGCAAAGTGGGCCCTTAATCCATTTTGTTGTAGGAACGGATTTGATAAATGCAGTGGAGTTTGATTCTATAGAGCTTGTTGATAAATGGGATGTGATAGTGAAAGATAAGGAGAAACCAAGGATGATTCTCAAGGTGCTGGCTCAGAAACTGGGCAGATGTGGATGTTAATTAATAAGGAGAAGGCTAGAGAAAGAACATATTGCCAACTGGGGAAGGAGATGGAAAGTTCCATTTGGTATATATTAAATCTGTGATGTGTGGCTTAGTTACCTATATCTAAAAAATTACCCTAAAATTTAGCAGAGTGAAACAACAGACACTTGTTGTCTCAGGTTCTGGGGGTCAGAAATTTGGGCATGTCATAGTTGGGTAGGTTCTGGCTCAGGGTCTTTCACAATGTTACAGTCAATCTGTCAACCAGGGCTGTGGTCATGTCAAGGTTTGACTGGAGCTGTTAGATCTGCCTCTTAGCGTCTTCCCATGGCTATTGACAGATTTCAGCTGGCTGTTGGCCAGAGACTTCAGTTCCTCACCACATGGAGCTCTCCAGAGGGCTACTCATGATATGGCTTCCACCAGGGCAAACATTCCAAGACAGATAGAGAACTCAAGATGGAAGCCAGTCTTCTTTTAAAACCTTATCTCAGAAGTAGCATACCATCACTTCTGCTGTGTGCTGTTTATCACACAGATCAACCCTGATGCAGTGATGTGGGCCGGGGGCGGGGGGAGGGGGAGGGAAAACACAGGGGTGTGAATACTAGAAGGGGTGGGATTGTTGGGTGTCATTGTAGCATCTGCCTACCATAAGGTCTATAAGTTGTCTCGGGGAAATGCCATATAGGCTAGTGGGTACATTATACTGTAGCTCACAAGAGAGATCTGGCCCACAGATAATTACTGGGGAGCTACTGGAAATGTGTAATAGTACCAAGCTAGAGAATATAGGTGGAGAAGGGAAGAGGATCCCAGTACCGAAGAGCCCCATGCTTAATGGTCAGTGGAGGAAGAGCCAGCTGGCCAGCACAGCGTGTATTCTGGGGGTGACTGAAGGGAAAGATAGGCTTCACTGGACAAGTTTCCCCTTCCTTGTGAATGGCAGAAAAATAGCTTCAATATGGCAGAAGAGAATTTCTGAAAAGATGGAATTTAATACAGTCTGAAATGTGAGTAGTTAAATTTTGACTCAGATAGAAACAGAGAAAAGAACATTTATTTATTTTAAGGTTTATTTATTTATCTTTGGTGGGGGAGAGGCAGAGAGAGAGAGAATCTCAAGCAGGTTCTGCACTCAGCACAGAGCTTGATGAAGGGCTCGAACCCATGAATCGTGAGATCATGACCAGCACCAAAATCAAGTGTCAGCTGTTTAACTGACTAAGCCACCCAAGCGCCCTGGGATAGAACATTTAGTCTTGAAAAATCTATGTCTGCCTCCTCAGTGCCCTGTCAGTCTGGGATTACAGTTGGTAGAGAGCCCCTTTGTAAAGATTTTAGAAGTTGCTCTAGGAATTAAGCTTGAAGACAAAATAATGAACTGTAGAACATAGGCGGAACTACTGACCTTGGAAGAGGCCTACCCTAGCTTCCATATGCTTTATAGCGTTACGGTACGACAAGTCTTTCTCCTCAAATGTCTTAAATACTCCATTGAGCCATACAATAACAATGGGAAAATTAATTCCTGATTGAGTGGTGTTCTGCTCAGTAGCCCTCCGAACTTCACTGTTAATAGAAGGACCAAAGAAGGTTGCTGTGTATGTTTTTCCCACACCAAATGAGGCCTTGTTCTTCTCCTTTCTTTAGCTTCTCTTTAGGATGTATTTTCAGTAATCTGCCTTTTTCTAAAAAGACTTTCACTAAAAAAAAAAAAAAAAGCCTCTCATTCACAGACATCCTCCCTCACTTCAATGAATGAATGAATGAATGAATGAATGAATAAGATGGAGAAAAAGAAAGTACCTACTCCCACCTGACCACCTGGCATAAAGTGGCTCCGTGGTTCTATCTGTTCCGGAAAGCAGTACCTGCGTGTTATCCCTTTCTCTGTCCCCTTCCAGGGAGGTATGGCCGTGTGACTTGCTTTGGCCAATGAAATGAGTGGAGGGACATGTCACTTCCTGGTAGATGCTTTAAGAGCCACCGAGAGGTCTGTCACTCTTTCCCTCTGCCACAGTGACCACCAATTTTCTAGATAGTGGTTGTTCTGTCAGCTTGGATCCTGAAAGGAGGG